GCACCCGCCAGCCCCGCCCTCTGGAGGAGGGTGGGTGCGAGGGCGCCTTCAGGCCCAGCTCCTTTCCACTGACAGGAGGCCGAGCTCAGGCGCCGGGAGCACACGCCTCGCTGGCATTGAGTGGCACCATTTTCTTTGTTATCGTTTTTACTTTTATGACTACTTTTACTTAAGACAAATAATACTCACTTCCCATTTGCAGTAATGATATCAAATTTGCTTTTTAAATAAATACTAAGGAAAACATTGAGTCACTATAAAGAAAAACAGGAAGCAAATAATAGCACAGATGTGTGTAGATGTGGCAAAATTTGTGAGGTCCGGAGTGACTGGAATTTGGAAGATACTAATCAAACCATCTCTAAACTCCACAGGTGTCCAGCTTCTGTTCCAGACCTCACACACTGACCTGTCCCACCGTCCCATCCCTCTGCCATGCACAGGGTGTCCCAAAACACGTGCCACACTTTCACGCCTGTGGCTCAGTTGATGCTTCTTTCTTTTCAGCCAGTCTAAGCTTTGAACAAAGGAAATTCATCCTAAAATGCTAGTGGGAATTTGAAAATGCAGTTGAAGTACGAACATTGCCTTTCTATCCAAGTGTGCATAAAAATGTAGACACGCTTTAACAGCAGATAATTCGCTCAATTTTCACTCCTTTCCAGGATTAACCAATTTGAAATAATGGGTGAAGCCAGAATAAGTTTTGAACAAAGAAAATTTATCCACTGGACTTTTTTGTCTGGGGAGACATAAAAGATAAAGTTTACGGTACAAAACCGGCAACAGTTGACGAATTGAGGGCGCACAGATACCGCACGAAGTGATTCTTGATGTTGCGATTCCAGCGCGTTATCAGCAGCGCCTGGACCAGAGGGTCCTCAGTTTGAAACAGGCATTGACAAAAAAATTATTCATTTCTGTAGATGCTTTTAAATTCTGAAAATGAACGGTATGTTAAAAACAGGCTTCATAATCACTCAGTGCGCATACATGTTTTGGACACCGTGTCACCGCCTGGACTCTCCC